GATGGCGATGACTTCTTAACTTTCTTAACGTAAACAGCAGCAGCAGCTATTACTGTAGAAATGGCTATTGTTAATTACTGTAAATGGCTGCTGCTATAAATCCAAAATTTCTCTTTTTGAAACTGTTGGCTCTTTCACGTTGGAAAAGATTTTCCGCAACATTAACTGCTGGAGGCATTGTTGACCCGCGTAAAAGCTGTATAGTTCAGAAGTCGTCGCCATCGTAGCTCTAAGTGGTTTAAGCAATGGTTTGTGTGAAATTTATATGCTCTTAAATTTCAAGCAGGATTTCGAAAATCCTTGTTCATGGTTATTGTTATCCACTCAGAAGTTTAGGATTTTTTCGTAACTCAGTAATAGTCTCTATTTTGACTATAGTTTAGAAAGAGTTTGAACTAGCAGTTCACTATCTTGATGCTAAAAGAAACTGTTCGTTGACGCAAAAACGAGCTTTCCATCTTGTGTAATTGTTAAAAAAAACGTTCGAGACTGCAATTAAAAAAAGAATGTTTTTCATTGTGCTGTGTGAAAAAATTAATGACCAAAACGTAACGTCGGAAACCTTGTCCAAGCCGTTTTACTTCATTTTTTTCTCTACACCAACCCAAATGTTTGAAAATGCTAATAATGGGTGCAAGCAGACGATAGTGTCTTTTTTCTGTATAATTTGAGCTGCTCTTTTTTCCGTTATAATAAAGTCTTGACCCAACCGATTATCTTGTTGTTGTTGAAAGAATGCATAGTACTAATTATCTTCTCATAGACAGTTTGATTCATTTATTTTTACACCAACAAAGTGTCTTTTACTGCATTTTATATTATTATTTTTCACTCGTTTGGGAAATGGAAAGTACTTTGTGATTTTGTATGCAATTTCCGGACGATCGATTTTTGATAGTTTGTGTGTTTAAGACACTCATATCACACTAATAAATTGAAAGAACTGGCTCAGTGTAAATTTATTTTTATTAGTATTCTTTTTCTTTTACTTTATGCGAGTTATCTCAGCCGATTGATCACATGAGAGTGCTGCAGCCTTTGTTTGAGTTTTGCATTGATGGCATCGTTGTTTAAAGTACATCTCGACTCTGCAATGTTTAGAAATACATATGCCCAAGCTGGCAGTGAATATTTTTGCTGAAAATTAAGATTTCCTCCAAGTAGATCTTTTTCAAGACGAATTAGAAAACGCTTTGTGTTCTGCTTTCTAGTACAGAGTGGCTAAGGATTATGAGATTAAGAAAAAAAATCGAAAGTACACTTTATCTCGATTCAAATACAGTACAATATAGTTCAACAGCTGAGCTAATAAATAGCAGGTAAACTTTGTTCCAACGCACAATGATCCGAGAAAACAATTTTTTATGCAAAAATTAATGATTTTACAATGAAAACTATATTACTACGAACTAGTGGAACAAACTACAGATTCTCAATCTAGATGTTTTCTGTTGTAAGGTAGCGAGAAAACTATTCAGTTCAATCCTGAAATGGTCAGAAAAAAACATTAATTTTTTTCCCTAACTTATTTGCGAACGTCTGTGGTTTGTACAATGAGTTTGCCGGCATTTTCTGACGTGCAGTCGTGTTAAAAACACACTAAAACATTCGACGCTGTGTAGTGAATATATCAATACGCAGACGTGTGCAACCATTTCTAGATCGACCTAGTGTGATTTTTTTCTTGGGATAAAATCTGATGTTTTTTTCTTGATTTACAAGCCCTTTTATTAAACAGTAAGGTTTAATAAAAGGGATCAGCGCATGAAAGCTGCATCGACTTATGTGTATTATAAACTTTTTTAGACGAAAACTTTTTGTTGGAGATACCTTCGGACCACCTTAGATGATGAGAAAAAACTGTTTTCAAACACTTTGTGTTTTGGAAAAAATACTTGTGTCAGTGGTTTCGAACAACTCTTGTTTTCCAAAACAGATTGAATGTGAAAAAATAATATATGTCTGCACATGCTAAAATTGTCCAATGCGCGGTAAGCAATTGAGTTGTGATAAGAACGCTGATTTTAGTCTACTTTAAAAAACCAGAAAACGTAAATCATGGAGAATGGTTAACATATCAATGGAGAAAAAAAACCTTGTTTCTGATGAATAAAAAAAAATGATACATAGACATCTACCTACCTGTGAATAAAACGACGGCTTAGAGAAAATATTGTACTGTGTAGGGTATTATCACTAACTATTTTACACAACAAACCATATAGACAAAGAGGTAAAAAGGTAAAAGTATTCTGTTTAATTATCTTTAAGATCAATCATATTACTAATCTTGAGGGTGCTCATTTAGCCTCTGCAACATATCCATACGTCTAAACAAAACTGCATTAAAAAACGAGAAGTTAGCTTTCGTTTTCTATTCTCCCATTCAGCCTGGACGATTTTTCTTACGAGAAAATCTTTTATAAACTCAACTAAGAAAACCAATGGCGATTGCATTGAGAATAAACTCTTAGGCGTACTCACATACACAAACTTCTTTGTAGAACGCCGCAGCGCGATCCATCAAGTATGAGAACTGTCAACAGACTTTTGAGTGTTTATTCTTTTACTGCCGTGCGCAAAAACAATTCTCCCGTGTCATTCAGTAAATTGGACCCCATGACTAAAATGCACTCCTGGCCTTTTCCTTGTTTTGCTTCACGAGAGTACGAGCAGTATCCTCCCTCCTCAAGATATTCAGATCTTTCGAAACATACCTCCGTCGATCTCTAGGTATTTACATTTTGCATTTTAAAAGGCCAAAAAATGCAATTTCTATTTTGAAAATGCTAAATAAGATTTGTTGACATGCAAACTCATCCTTATTGCATACTGCAATCCAAATGCCAAAAAAAGCTGCAACTGCCGGTCGAATTTTCTAAAAGGAAAATGTCAAAAGTGCGTCTTAGTGATTGCGCAATCCATTCAAGTAAATATAAGAGAGCGTCTGAGAGATGTGGTGGTTCATTGCTGTTGTACCATGATTAAAGATAAAAATGAGGAAGTAGATTTCGACGTGAGTTGTGATGGATGGTCCTAAAGTGATTTAAATATACTCTTGGGCTCATAGATCTTTTCTTTCATCTAGATTGAACCGAGTTCGATCATGAAAGATACATTGTGAGCTGATTGTATAGAACTGCAGGGCAATGGTGGCATCTGAATCAGATGAAATGAAGAAGACAACAGATGCAAGGAACTATTGGAAAGAATTGTTGGCTGACTATGATCCTGATTTGCAGTTGCCTTACGATCATCAAAGACTTTCATCGTTAGACTGTCAGTCGTTTGTACCATCGTCATCGTTCAACTTTAACTTAGAAGATCGACAACTAATCGACTCTATTCTCGGTTGTTGCACGAATTACAGTGTGACACTATTTCAACTGTTTTTAACAAACTATTATCTATTCTTGTTTAAAGTAACACAGGGAACTGCGAAAGACATTTGTGTTTATTCGAACCATCCTTGTTCAGAACGTCTTGCGTTTATACCATATCGTTTTAAACTCGATCCTCGTTTAACATTTCTTGAGGTTGTCATGCACGTTCAAAAACTCTGTCACAAAATGCAACCATATTTAGAGTTCGAAACTGATGAAATAATAAACAATATTTCACAAAGAGATTTGCCAGTACTCAAATTTCTCCTTCAAGAGTCACCACGTTCTAAAACTGATGCCAAAAATGATCTATCTCAATTGCAATCATCTTTATACACGAGCAAGAGTGAAAGAGAACAAGAAGTGAAGTTCGATCTGCAACTATGGATCAGGTGTAATTTGGAAGACAAAACGATGAAATGTTCATTTGACTTTTCGACCGACCTCTTTGAGCAAACTACCATCGATATAATGTCAAGACGATTTCAAACTCTGCTGAAACAATTGTTCTTATCCTCTTCATTTGATGTTGAAAGGTCACCAGTCTATGAACTATCGATTCTGCTACCTGACGAACTGAGACTGTTACGAGATCTAAACGATAATCATATTCAGTTTGAACAAGAAATGAAATGTATTCATCAGCAATTCACTGAGACAGCTAACAAGAATCCACAAAAGTTGGCTGTCATTCTCGATGAACAATCATTAACATATGCTGAACTTCTTGTCTATGTACAACATCTGTCACTTTCTCTAATGAATGATCATCATGTTGTGCCCGGATCAATCATTTGTCAGTGCGTCGAACGATCGATCGAAATGGTAATTGGTATATTATCTATCTTGACCTGTGGTGCTGTATATTGTCCATTATCACCGAATGATCCTCCAGAGCGGCTCTCTTCTCTAATACAGGAGACAAAGTCTAAACATATTCTCATTCACGAGTTAACAGAAGAGAGATTCAGTGTGTCGGTTGAAGATAAAAGTTTCATTAGGATTGATTTTAAAAGGATTTTTGGTTCCAGAGCATTGAATGGGAAACAATTAAATCTGTTATCGGCTGTACCAGTTGATGTCGAGAAAGTCGCGTATGTCATATTTACATCGGGGTCAACTGGGACTCCCAAAGCTGTAAGATGTTGTTGTCTCTTTCAAAATGTAGGCAAATATTGCATCGCTTAATTCGTTTGTTCTAGGTTCAGATTTGTCACCAAAATTTCATTTTGTACGTATATTCATTTCTGAGTCAGATAAATATTATCAGTATGAATGATACAGTTATCGTAACAACACCATGCTCGTTTGATGTTCAGTGTGTTATCTAAATATCATATCGCCAGTATCTTTGCCCAACCTTTTGTTTGCTTTCTACCTTCTTTTCTTGTTATGTTGGTGCTAAACAGCTTGCTATGCTCTGACGATATAATATTCGAACGATCTGAATTTAAAAGAAATGTTAGCTCCAATACTCCTTGGAGGAACAACTGTTTTGCTTCACCCAAACGGAAATCTTGACATGTCTGTTATTACGAAAGTTATCCAGCAACATATGGTCTGAGAACAGTCAATTATTATGTTATTATTACAAGACCACAAGTATTTTTCCATTAATCACGGAAACTGCGAGCTGGAAGCAAAACACAACAATTTTAAAGAGAACATGATGTGTTTAGAAAGCGCTAAGGTCACTTGTGAGAAATCCAAGAAGACTTGATTCAAAGAGGAACTTGACTTGACATGAGCAAATTTGTTTGCCGTAAAAGAAAGCTTCAGAAACTTTGGAAGGAACGCAAACACCATCAGCCGCTTTCTCTGCTGAGAGACTGTGCTGTGAACGTAATATTTCGACAGGCTCTACCTTTGTTGGCCTCATACCAACACTCATGTCAACACTGTGCGACTACTTGGAATCAAAGAAATATTCTCCTGTTTGTTTTCACACCGTAAGGACAGTCATCTCTGGCGGTAGGTTAACAAATCTTAGTATTTTGGAAGCATGGATAGCTGATAATTGCAATTCATATCGTAGGCGAAATTATGAAAGTCAAAATTGTTTTGAAATTCTTATCTTATGTCAGTTCTCAATGCAAAATTTTCAATGTCTATGGTCCAGCTGAATGCACAATCACGTCGACCTACCATCTCATTCAATCGCAAGATCTGACTGCGCATTCGGTTCCAATTGGAAAACTAATTCCAAATTATCAGTGTTATGTTCTTGATGAACATCTACAGATAGTGTGTCCGAATCAAGTTGGAGAGTTGTATATTGGTGGAATAGGCGTTTTTAAGGGCTACTACGGTCGGAATGACCTGACTCGGAAAGTTCTCATCAACGTACCAGGCATAAAAGATAAGTGCTTTTATAAAACGGGTGATTTGGCCAAAATTGATATGGACCGACAACTTCATTTCATGGGACGTGCCGATTTTCAAATAAAAGTGCGTGGCCAGCGAGTAGAAGTCGCAGAAATTGAGCAAATTATCTTTTGTTCCTCTTCGAGTGTAAATGATTGTGTCGTAGTAAAACAGTTAGATGATCAACGAATCAATGAAGATTATTTAGTGGCTTATGTACAGTTAAATGTCGATGGCGATCAAAAGCAAATAATTTTAGATTCCATCCGGTCCTATTGTCTCAAATCTTTACCATCTTACATGATTCCTTCGGCGTGGCTTATAATGGATACTTTTCCATTGAATTCGAATGGAAAGTTAGACCGCAAACGCCTACCAAAGCTTAAGCGTGGTGTACCATTTCTGCCGCCTGCCAATGATGATGGATTGTTGCTCAATACACCATTAGAAAGACAACTAAGTGAGATTTTTATTCAATCATTTAATGTGGCTAATTTAGACTGGAACATGTCATTCGGTCATCAAGGTGGAACTTCATTAGGTGCCATGAAAGTTGTCTCATTGATACGTCAACAAGCCGAATGTTCGAATACTGTGTAATCATAAAATGGCAACAAAGTTTTCATTTCGCATACCATATTTGTTTTCTCTATGTTCTCCAGTTCATACAGGAGAACTAGGAAAGGAGAATGAAGAAATGCAATAAAACGTGGAAAAAGCTAACATAGTATTCGAATAATACCAACTGTATCCTAAAATGGAAATTAGTCTTTTATTTTCACATCCGACTGTTCGTCAACTATCTAAAGCATTAAGACCGTTGATTCTAAAGTCAAAAGAGCGAGAAAAGACAGAAGAAGAACAATTATTTACTGACATCAACGAAGATCAAAAACGATCATTAACAGCAGAAACCTTGGGCATTGTTCTGTTGTTTTATCATTTTGCATTTCCGATATGGATTGCGGGAAAAATACTAAATTCTCATAATCTATTTATCACTGGAATTTTTTACCTTTTGTTTGTTCCATGTCAACAGCTGTTACACTACGTTATTTTAAGACATCTGTTATTTCCTTTCGGTCGACAGCCTGGCAAACAAAAACTGTATTCGTTTGAATACTATTCGTGCTGTCTACTCAATCGTATTTGGTCACTGAATTTAATTCAACTCAATTTTCTTCTTGGCACACCCTGGTACAATTTTTACCTAAACTTGTGTGGTGCCAGAATAAAGTCTATATATAATGTTCGAATATGTACAACGTCAATAGATCTCCCAGATTTGCTTGAAATAGATAATTTTACATATATTGGACCCGAAGTGGTTTTGAATAATTTCTGTTACAAACATTCAACATGCGAGTTGCACCGTATACGTATTGCTTCTAATTGTACCATTGGTTCTCGCAGCGTTCTATATCAAAGTGTTAACATAGAAAATAATGTTTTGGTAAAATCAATGTCGAGTATAACGCAGTCGATCATACCGTCGCATAGTATTGTCGAAGGACGTCGTATACTACAAAATATAAGGGATGACACACCTCACAACGATAGCGGAAGAACTAATCGATTTAGTTTCTCCATTTTACAATGTTTTTTTCAGTTTGCATGTTTAATGTTTATTCTCGTTTTGTATATCGCAATTTATTCTCTCTTTCCTCCATCAAACTCCATTTTTCGTCTGGTATTCTGTTCGATCTTATGGTCATCTGTTTCGATGATGATAGTAATCGGCTTATTGAAGTTTCTCATTGGTCCAGTTCAACCGGGTTGTTATCATTTGAATTCGTGGCCCTATTTACATAAAATATGGTTCCGACAATTGATTGTTAACAGTTTTAGTTATTCTCTTTTTACTCTGGGAAGTTATCATGATTGGTTCCCATATATTCTGAGATTTCTTGGTGCCAAAGTTGGCAATGATGTGAAATTAGATCATTTTAGTCATTTTTTGATGATTCCATCAAATTTGCTAGAAATTGAAAACAGTGTTACAACCAACTACGATTGTCTATTGGCACCAATTGAGCTTCGAAATGGCCAAATGATTTTCGATAATATTTATATTGGTTCTGGCTGTACATCAGCTAACTATTCTACAATTCTCTGTGGATCAAAATGACAATGTTCACTTCCGACGTCCGGCTTGTGTTACCTGTATGAGTGCAACAGTCATTGCTGTAATCCTCGTCCGCCACATTTAGATGAAAAATACATACAGGGTATGTACTTCTTTTATCTTTTTCCTCTTGCCTGTTCCCTTTTCGTCTCTATATGCGGCAGAGCGGACAAGGTTCGTCAAGAATTACACAGGCATTGATGATACAAACACTGGAGCAGCGTACAAAGTTGAATGTGATCGTTGTACCCAAGTAACTATCAGACAACAAAGTCATCGATACAGCGACATTACCGCGAACAATTATTTATTGAAAAAGACGAATAAATGAGGCAAAACACAACACCAGGCTCATTTATTCTTCTTTTCCAATAAACGAGTCTTCGCGATAATGTCGTTCGCGGTAATATCGTGTCATGAAGTTATCAGTGCTGGAAAGAAACTTCGAAATGGACTAAAAAGCATGGGGGATCGACGGCTGCGCGCCATATGATCAGCGGCAAAAGACACGTAGTTAAATTTGACCAATGCATCGTCATGACATGTCATACAAACCAGAAGAAAAGGGAAATTAAGAGACACTAATCACAACAAAGCATTAACCTGGAAGATACAATAAGATCAGTCATAAGCTTATAGTGTTTGATTGAACAGTTTAAGTTTACTTAAACTGAACTTAAAGTTACTTTTACAAGTCTGAGCACTGTGAACGCACCTTGCCATTATCCACAGCCTACGAAGAGCTACTCACCGAACACTACTGACGATTTTTTCTATTTCTCGAAATGTAACCAAGTCTGCGCTCATGAATACTCCTGTTTTCGAAACAAAAACTATATCGCACTAATCTGAAATAGAAACCGTATATCCTTGACGTAAATTACTGTTATCCTCAACACAGCTACTCATACTGACAATCACATCGATAAATCTATGGTACAAACTATACTTAACAGTTACCGTCCCTTTACCAAACTCACATTTGAAATAGCAAACGATAATCGAATACCATATCTTGATGCCTTGGAATACAGACAGAATAATCGTTTTGACGAGTGTCCACGAAGGTCGGAACACAAACAGTGTCAGGCTTGTGATCCATCGGTGGCCAGTTCTAAAAGCATATAAAAGGGCTGAATAAATTTTACATTATTACCGCCTATTTTGTTGCAGAAACGTCAAAGCCTTAGACATCACCAAAACAATTCGGTGTTAACGTTCTCACGTACCTAGAAAATACAAAGTTCCTTGTCATAATTCGCTATGATTCATACCAGTTTAGTGCGGTTAAAGAACGAAAAATTAGAATGATATAAAAGAGCGGCAGTTGGCTCACTGATTATCGGAACTCTGGATGTGTGTTCGTCCTGCAACTGCTCCATCAAGAACTCACTTTAGAGGTAGTCTAACGTCACCCAATTTGTTCATGCTCTTGCCAAATGAATGAACTTCGCGATAAAAGAAAACATCAGCTTCGAAAAACTCAACTCAAAGATATGTTGAATGGAACAAGTAACACTGAGCGCCAGTACTCATGGAAATTCTGTAGTCATGAAGTCTAGTTCTGAATTTGGTTCAAACATCAAAGAAATTATCGGAGTTAACAATCTCATTTCGGGTTGAGAGTGAGCACTCTGATAACTTTTTCTGATTCATTCGACATAAGACAGTACACTGATGTTTAAAGTCGAAGGCAAAACATTTCTGTTAGCTTTATTCAGTCGTTCTAAAGTTCTGCTTTTATCCCTGGTCTTGAAAGCACTAGTGTACGAAAAGCTTGCCTGTTTGGGCCTTGAGACAATGACTCTGTTGGAGTTTCTCCTCCTCTCTCTGAAAAGAAACAGTCATCGTGTACGTTATTCTTGGACAGTCTTTTTGCCAGCTCAATCTCTTGTCGGTAGCATGACGCGCTACGATTCTTGCACAATCGACGACTCCTCGAAAAGAGCAGTATTTTTGGGCATACCTGCACAAAAGATGCCTTTTCAATTAGAATCAGTCGACCAAGCCGTGCCGTCGCACCGTTGTAGTAAATGGAAACGGATAAAAGTAGAATTTCTGATTGTCGTCTTTTCACAACTATTATCAAAACTAATTATATTTATAAATCTCGATGTGTCTATTTCTGCGTTGTCCATCGTTCCTACACATTTACAATTCTTATTTTATCCGATTCTATTCATATTCATTCTCAGCATTTATTCATTTTTCTATTGTTTAATCTATCGCTTATCAAACTCGTGGGATCGCATTCGTGGCTATTCTTCAGAGGCGTTTTGGTCAAACCTAAATGAAAACCTACTTTTGCAGATGTTAATTAACTATACAATGTTTCTAAGTGGCTTTCTTTACGGAACTGATTACTTGGTTTACCTAATGCGTGGGTTAGGCACTAAAATATCGGGCAATGATGTTATTCTTACAGATTTCGACTGTTTGAATGATCCGGAAATGATCACAATTGAAAATCATGTTAGAATTTGTTCAAAAGCTGCTGTTCTAGTAAGCAGAAAGCCAGGGTTCTCTTATATTTGTTATGTTGTTCTTTTCTCTTAATAGGCCCATTCATACGAACAACGGCGGTTTCGACTTATGCCCGTTTCGATTGGTAGTTGTTCAATTTTAAATTCTCGATCAATGGTATTTGCAGGATGTCGATTAGAACAAAATAATTTGTTATGTCCTTGCACGTTAATCATGAAGAATGATCATCTGCCTGCGAACACTCAATGGGCAGGTTGTCCGGGAACAATGATGATGTCACCAGATCGTAACTGACAGACCACGTCAAATCTGAGTAGTTTTACATTAACTGCCTTGTGGTCGCATCTTCTGTGCAGCGAACTTTTCGTATTTACTTTTCTCCCTCAAGGATCCTCACTGACCGACAATCGGAGTCGAGCGCGATGAACCTGCTGGTAATGTTTGTTTTTGGAGAAAAACTGAAGAACTTCATGAAAATCGTAGGATGTACAGTATTCACACTATTCTATACTCTGTTTATAATAAATCTATAGAAAACGTTTTCCGAAACTACCTAATATTCTGATATGTACGATCTAATCTAATAATGGCATTCTATTTGTTTGTTTTATATGAATTACACATGCTCAAGAAATGATATACATCACAATCAGAAGACAAACGAAGGCTTCAACTGAAAGTTATCTACAGTTATGATCAGACACATTTCGTAAATCATCCATATGAGATTTCTTTGAGAATGAAATAGCTTATGTCTGAAACAAAGTTTTGAAAAAGTTGGTAAATGGTGCTAATTCGTGAGATACTAATATTGTAGCTTATTTCTGGGTTCATTGCAGGTGCCCGTTTCAGTGTAAACTAGCTCACTTTGTAAGAAATAAATCGCTCTACAAGCTGCATTTAAACCGTAGTATAATTTGGTTGCGTGGCAGCTATTTTACTGGAAAAAAATATGCTTTCGGCGTCAGAGAGTCGTGCACTCATCCATTATGTACGGTTGACAACTAGTAGTATAAAGAATAATTCATCCATTAGCATAATCCTTTGCTAAAATGAGTCTTATCCGACAGGTCTACTTCGGTGAACTTTTCGCTACACAAAGTCCAAGCCTGTAATTTAAACATAGCAAGATATTGCTGTAAATACATATGAGTACAGAGATGTCACTCTGCAACCTAACGCAGGTCCCACACCTCCATTCACCATGCTTCGGACGCTACAGGCAATCTCCGAGGACCTACCTGTCGACCATATTTGAGCTCTATGAATCTTGGAAACACATGGTACATAAGTTATCGCACACGCTTATTAGTATAACAAAGTTTGTTTTGTGGTCCGGGTTATGCAAACTGCAAAACACGAATTTTTCGATAAAGACAATTTTTTCACTGTGACCATACTGGAATAAACCCTTATAGCACCTTCATTTCTCAATTAGATTGCACCATATTTTAAAAACCATGCCTCTTCTACAGTTCAAGAACTTGTTTTGATGCTGAGCTTTCATCTGAAGATCTTCAGTAGTCCTTCAGTAGTAGCTTTCAAGCTATCACTTAGAAGAAAAAAATTTTCTTCTCATCATATACGTTCATTCAGAACGTTCTTTCTTGCACTTCAACTTTTGTTCAGTGTTAGTATATGTACGGTTGACAACTAGTAGTATAAAGAATAATTTCACTCGTAAATGTCCTTGATAACGGCTTCTTGATGAGACCGAAGCGTCGGTGAATAAATAAATTTGTTTTTGAAATAGAAACTGTATAATAATGGCTGCTGCGAAAATCCACAATTTATCTTATTTCCTTTGTTTTAAGACATAATGAGCACACTGAAAATCGTTCGTTACAGGCCCATGGATAAAGTTTGAGTGTTTAGAGAGAAAGCATCATTGGTTGTTGACGATATACGTAAACATAGATTTCTCCTGATTAAAGAAAGAGAATAAAACTCAACAATTTCACAGTGCAATTTCAAGAAAGGACTATTAATAAGAATTTTCTACCCAAAACATCCGGCCTCGTGGACATTTTTTCAACGACTTTTGGAACTAAGCAGAAGCTAAGTAGTTATTTGTATATGTCAGATGCACATGTCCATGAAGGAGCATCAAAACCTAACAAAGCGTAAATCTAGCTAGTTTTTATTTTTGTCATGTCTAAGTGATCTGGGAAAGTGAGCCAAAAGCTCTTAGACGGAGACCAAAACCGATAGCATGAGTTTCGGCGCAGACTTAAACACAATAAACATTAGCGTTTCTCAATGTGACACTTAAATCTGCCTGTTGTAATTACCATTGCCAGTAGATAATTAATACTCGGAAAAAAACTTATTGGGTTAAAGCTTGTTTAACACGAATAAACGTCTGTTTGACGAACAGCGGTGGCAGACAGCAACAGTTTTGAAACACACGAACAACATTTGCAAAACTAACCTGATCTGGGTTAGTTTTGAATGAACAGATAGTTCACAAAGTCAGTGAGAGAAAACAACTGAGAGGTGTGGATATGTTGGAGAGGTAGTTGAAAAGATGGGACCTAAGGAGGAATCAGTTTCGAACGAGGAATAACTGTAGTCAAACACTGTGGCACAGTTAGAAGGTAACGACAGTGAACAACTACGTGAAGTAGTCAAAAAAAAGGTAAGGTGTGAAGTTTTCTTTTCAGAAATATTGTTTACTCAGGTAAACTAAGTCCCATTTTACTGTATTTCTCAATGCGAATTCGACATATGATTGAAAATGATCTATTTTGCCTTATTTCAGCTGCGTCAGCACTCCTATTCTACAAGTCCTATTTCTATTTCACATTGAATCACTATGGTCGCCATAGAAGGACTACGAGACACTGCTTGTGATACCTTTGACAGCCTTCCAACATCTCCTATTCCTATTCGATGTTGGAAGGCTGTCAAAGGTATTACAAGCAGTGTCTCGTAGTCCTTCTATGGCGACCATGATGATTCAATATTAAATAGAATTAGGACTTGTAGAATAGGACTGGTGAAGACGACTACAGAATGACAATCAATGACAATCAGCCGAATGAAGATGATAGGATAAGTTTCTCAAACACACATCCCATCAAAAATGCATCTTCTGAAAACTGCTCTTCAAAACCAAATGATACTTGCAATTTCATCAACAAGCAAAAAGATCACCAATTTTTGCGGGTGTCAAAACATTGCAAATCAATCTGTATCCAACGCTCTACCGTAAAATATAATTAGTCTCTTTCTCGCTAAGTAATGTGCATAACTTTCAGGTTGGCGCTTTCGATAACAACTAGATAGTTACGACTGAAAAATGATAAAGACCGTTACAGAGTTCTTGATGAATATTAGTTAACTGAAGCTGAATTATTTTATTTTTGGATGTTTCACACGCTGGTTTATATATCATAGTCATGCAAATGTTTAATGGTTGCGTACTTCTCAGTTCATTAAGTTTTTGCTTCGTCGGGAATCTTCGTCACTTTGCTGTGCTTGTTGTAATTATTTTCCTCTTCCAAACGACGGCGTGCATTTTCCAAATTATTTATCTGTAATTTGAATTTCACAATTGAATCCTCGATAGTTTCAACATTGTTTAGAATGTTCAGTGATTGTGTATATGGATCATATAATATATCAAATGGACGTTTAATCGACGAATTTACGTATTGACGTAATTTGCCTTTGATATCTTCAAAACTTTCAGCAATGAAATAATGCGTTTGATATTCATCAACTATGCAAAAAAATAATTAAAGACATGTTTGAAAAAAGTGCTTTTTCTATTGATATTGATTACCTCTGTATTCTAGAAGTACAGTCTTCTCCGGTTCAAACAGGTGCCTTTCTGGTTTATCACTCGACAGAGCATATTGCAATTCACCATAAGATGACAATAAAGCAGCGCCGTACACTTTCAATTGTCCGTTTTCACGACATAATCCCATTTCAACTGTGAACCAATACAATGTTGACAATTTAAGTATATCTTCGTCGCTAGCTCCAAGAGATGCAAGACCTATTTCTTGTGAAAACCTGATACAAAGAGGCATGCACACAACATGAATCTGTACGAAAAAGTTTTTCTATTTACTGTGCAAAATTTGGATCGCTCAATAACGGTACATGACCCAATAGTTCGTGTGCAACATCTGAAACATTAAAGAAGAATTGCATTCTCACTTTTTGCAACAGTATAGCCCTACTATAGTATACCTGGATCGGGCGAATAAACTGGTGTTGATGAATGCCTTATATACTGAGTACATTGAAATACACGAAATGCCAGACTACCTAAAAAATCTCTTGCCGATAGCAAACCTACGAAAATAGAGAAAATATTGGTTTCGTTGAGGCAACTATCGTTTTTCTTTATCTCACCTGCACATGGTCTCAGTTGAAAGCCCGATCGTCGTTTCATGAATCGAGACACATCTTCTAATTGTGGTATAGACGATTCACTGAAACCACATTCATCTTCGAGCATTCTGAAGACATCACGATGTTGTTTGCATGCGTGTGTTGGATACAATTGTACCAAGTGTCGATATACAGTACTGAAAGGTTAATATGGAGTTGAATAAGTTATAACTAAATAAGAGACCGAAAGACATTCTAATTCATACCCCCATGTTTCTATCTCAGTTGAAGTGTATTCTACTCTTGGTATCAAATCACCATGTTTATACCCAAAGGCCAGTTCAGCAATTTTTTCGCGACGTTCTACATATTCTTTGTCATAGAAACCTGGATGATTCTTATCTAATTCTGGTTGATATTTTGTTGATAAATGATGACATTTATCAAGATCTTGTATTGAACGTGGAAACCAACATGCATTACCATCTGGTTCTATACTTTTCCCGTTGTTTATTGGTTTTTCGAGAAGATCATCTACTTTATGTCCGACTATGGTCATCGAAGTCATTGCTGTCATCGACGGCTTTTTGTGTTGGGTCAGCTTTCCGACACACTATGATTATTAGATAGTAAACATGGGTAGTATGACATCAAAAAAGTGATAATATGTTGCAATTGAAAGCAGTAGTCACGGACCATTGATAAAGGTAAGGTAGAACTGGATGAATAACTCTATATGGATAAAGTTTGAGTGTTTAGAGAGAAAGCATCATTGGTTGTTGACGATATACGTAAACATAGATTTCTCCTGATTAAAGAAAGAGAATAAAACTCAACAATTCCACAGTGCAATTTCAAGAAAGGACTGTTAATAAGAAAAGGTAGGAAAGAAGAGCACTTAAATCTCCTTATTATTGAAGTACATATTCCTTTCTAAACGTCTTTGTCACGCCGGACAGTGCTGACGTAGTTGCGTACGTAGTTGAAACAAGGCAAAACAGATCATTTTCAATCGTATGTCGAATTCGCATTGAGAAATACAGTAAAATGGGACTTAGTTTACCTGAGTAAACAATATTTCTGAAAAGAAAACTTCACACCTTACCGAAAATCAGATAGTTCAACATCATCACAACTGACACTAGGAAGTGTTTATGTACAGTAAAGGAACAGCGGGCCGAAATTGCTGTGTACTTTCTGTGACTCTGCGTTAATACTGACTTTTAGAAACCCCCAGATAGAGATTGTGCCGTGATAGTAGCATCGTCTGGTTGACGAAACCATTAAAAATTGATTGCACCATGTTCTCGAAGAAACGTCCGAGTAAAACACGGTGCAATCAGACGTAATGAGCTAAAAACCTTCTACAAAAGCTAGAGATCACTTTCTCCAGGTAGGCGCTTAAGAAAAAAAAACTTCACTAGTAAGTTGCAAGTAACATTTGGTTTAGAAGAGCAGTTTTCAGAAGAAGCATTTTTGATAGGATGTGTGTTTAAGAAACTTACCCTACCATCTTCGTTCGGCACAGGCTTAAATGCAATAAACATTAGCAGTTCCCGATGGGGCACTTAAACCTGCCTGTTGTAGTTACCATTGCCAGACAGATGATTAATACTCGGAAAAAACTTATTGGATTAAAGCTTGTTTAACACGAATAAACGTCTGTTTGATGAATAGCGGTGGCTGCATCTGTGCATCTGACATATACAAATAACTACTTAGCTTTCTGCTTAGTTCCAAAAGTCGTTGAAAAAATGTTTACGAGGCCGGATTTTTTTGCGTTGTGCAATCTGCAAAAACGAAAAGACGAGAGGTAAAAAAATTATGGCTTATAAAAGAGAGTTACTGATTTTATTTGTCATGTAAAGCTGACAAAATTTGATAGACAGTATAAATATTGGCTTTTGAATACCGTTAAAATCTGTTTATGCGAGAAATTTTAGAAACGTCAGTCGAACTCAAACATTTGTTTGTATTATATAGTGATCTCTTTTTCGAGAACAATCGAGCGAATTCATTGAAAATCTGTGTAACCACAGCGCTTCAGGTAAATTTGAATCCACACACCGTTTTGAGTGATCCAGCTTACTGGTTTAGGATATATCTTGGAACAAAAAACCGGGATGAGAAGTAACCTTTTAGATAATAATTCATAAGGTCAGGAGCGTAGTGAATGAGAAACACCCTTTCTGTACATCATTGTTTATTTGTTTTATTTTAGAAACATAGAATGAACAATAGTAACAGCAGTAAACATAGAAAAGTAAACGTGGGAATAATTGGCGGCGGTGCAAGCGGTTTGGTTACATTAAAAGAACTGTTGGCCGAAGGTCACCAGGGAACGGTATTTGAAAAGTCTTCAAATATTGGCGGAATATTCAATACCGTTTATCAACAAGGTCAAATGGTTAGCTCAAATTTAGTGACAATGTTTGGTGACTTTGTTGGTGATGAACGGGAATACAACGATCTTCTCAAAAGCCCGCGTATGTGGACATTTATTGAATATTCAAAATATTTGGTTGATTATGCCGAAAAATTTCACCTAATCGAACATATTAAGCTAAATTCGGCAGTCAAATCTGTGTGGAGAAGGTTGGAGGATGGAAAATGGAATGTTGAAATAAACGACGAAGCGCAAAGCATTTACGAATTCGATCGTCTGGCTGTTTGTTCCGGTACACATCAGTTGAGATCAATGCCAAAATTCAAAGGTGTAACAAAGTTTCAAGGTAAAATAAAACATTTACAAGACGTTTGTACGTTCGAAGAGTTCCGAGATAAACGATGTTGTATTGTTGGTAGTGGTGAGAGTGCTTCTGATATGGCATTAGCCTCAGCTAAATACGGTAAACAATCATTTTTATCGATTCGGCAAGATCACGGAGTCATTGTCAAGCGCTATGGTACGGGCTCGTACGGGCCTGCTGATTTGGGAACAAATCGTGTTCGATATTCAATACCGTTCAGACTGGGTCTTCTTCACGTATCAATAATGCTCATACCTAGACTTCTACTATCTTTTGTAACACCCGCCGATACGTTAGAAAAACGAATAATACGAAAACAACATGAAATGAATTTTAGCCAACTTCGAACAAGTCATTTTCGAAACACATATGGAACAAAAAATGCCGGTCTCGTCGAAGCAATACTCGAATATCATTGTCAACGTAAGCCAGCTATCAAAGAATTGAGAGAACGAACAATTGTATTCGATGATAATACAGAAGAAGAATGTGATGAAATAGTCTGCTGTACGGGTTATGAGAACGAATTTTCGTTTTTGCTACACACTGGTGATGAACTACTGATGAAAGTGGCTAACGATGCTCGAATACCGCACAATTTGTACAAGCATTGTATTCATCCAGAAATCGGTGATCAGTTATTTTTCATTGGATTTGTAAGACCGTGTTTCGGAGCCATTCCACCATTGGCTGAAATGCAAGCAAGATGGTTTGCTCTATTGTGCTCTGAAAAATTGTCGTTACCACCGAAGGAAACTATGTATCAACACAGTCAGTTGTACGTTAAGTATTTGGAAGAATATTTTACACCCTATCGAACAGATCGTATTGTTAATCTGACGGATTTTATATCCTATTCGGATGACCTCGCACGACTTCTTGGATGCAGACCAAATTTCGTTGAAATGTTTTTTAAACAGCCTAAACTTTGGCTAAAATGTCAACTAGGTCCAATGTTGAATGCTCAATATCGTCTATGTGGCCCACACGCGAATCGAAAACAAGCCGAAGAAATTATTCTTCAATCGAAATGGGTTTATTATGATTTTTATATTTATATAGAATTATTTCTGTTATTTTTTTCTTCCTTATTCTATCTATTATTTGGTATTAAAAAATGTAAACCAAATATATGGTATCCAATCGTTGACGACACGAAGCACGAAGCCAAAAGAAAATAAAAATAAACACAATATTAACCTTCTGCAATACGCATGCACATTTGGCAAGATTAACCTAAGTTTTGTAAAAGCTTCATAACAATCTTTCGATATGAGTGACTGTAGTCAGAACACAAACGGAACGAATATTTAGCAAAAAATATTAGTTTACTTTTAGCTTTTGTTAAAATAGAGTTAACGAGATATTTGGAAGGAGAGAAAAAGATTTAGAAAAATCTGGTTTTATCTCATCAAGCAGTTTTAATAAAAACAATTCTCCGCAGAAAACAATGAAAAACACCAGCATCTTCTAAATATAGTTTCTCAATATTTTGTTAAGATTTTTCAACGAACCCTACCCTGATCCAAAACAACTTAAGCGTCCCCCTGTCAGAGACTTATTCTTGCCCCAGAACATCCGATCTTAATAAAAGCTTTATAAAATGTGTACCTGGCCTTAGGCAGCTGACGGTAAAAATATTAGCTCGAAATGTTAAGTTTTTCGAGAGTAATCATAACATTAACGGTCAAAAAGTAAGCGTTCGTGTGCAAAGGATTTCTCGTGCAATTTCAGTCATTCAGACTTCGGAGTGGTGTCAGAATGTAGCCAAGACTAAGCGCTAGAACTTAGCCGGATTTTTGTGTTTTTTTTCTATATTTTTCCCGAAAGTTTTTCTAAAAGGTTGGGAATGAGACTGAATTTTCTGAAAACTATATTTATCTCAAAAACCAAGCTGAAATTAAAAAACCCGGTTAAGTTAAGGTGGGGTCCGCTTCCTCCTATTGCGTTATATTGTGTAGTTTGAAAGGTCAGGACACAATATCCTTCCTTTATGGCGTTACAAACGTAAAGAACGATCAAAGTTGAGTTGTAAAATTTTTTCCATGTATTTTGCTGGGATTGAACAAGAATTTTGAGAAAAACCTTGCCAGAAATGCTGCAAAAATGGTCCATGGTGGATAAAAACTTTTGGTATAAAAATTGTGCACAATGGTCGGCTGCGGGGATTAATATAGTCTGTTTTTCGAAATTTTCTTCCGAATTTTTTAAAAAAGTTAAAATTTGAAAAATTTAAACTTAGTTTTATCAGAATATTTTTTTTAAACTTTAACTCTCATTTCTCCAGTCCAATGGCTACTGAAATCGAATTACCCCATTGCATCTGTGTCCGAGGTACCGAAACAATGAACATTAGATAGCTTGTCCAAGACTATTACACAATCGCCGTTGCCCGGATTCGAACTCCGTATCTTTGAAGTACGTTCTCTGCCGACTAGCCGACCGAGTCACGCTGCTCATTTTTAGTATTTTTCCATGTAGTAGACTGTTTTGCACATTTTTTATACCAAAACTTTTGCTCCATCGTGCCTCGTTTGGCAAGAGTTTAAATCAAAAATCCTTTCTAAAAACCGGTTTTTAGCTAAATCCGTCTACTGTTTGAAGAAAACTTCTGCTACAAAAGTTTATCTGCACGTAATTCTGTATGTAAATATAAGTTTAGGTTTTTTTAGAAAAACTAATTTCAAACGTTTTAAATTTAAAAGATTAAGTTTGGGTGTTAATTACAACTTGAAGTGCTAGTTTCCATTTTAAAAAGCTTGATGCTCAATGAAAACTAACCATAGAAACGTCATTCTTCCCTAGCTTGATAGCCAATGCTATGTGGTTACAGTCTGATAAGAAAATTAATAAAAAGGTATTTTTAAAATATCACTTTATAACTAATTAATGCGATTTTATTTGTCACGATAGCAAAGCTACAGGTATTTTTTGAATAACGTTTGTCAGGGAAGCAATAGAGATAGTAGTAGGATTTTAAAAGGATCGTTGGAAAACCGTACTGGCGTTAAGACCAGCCGGGTCTTATTACCTGTTTTTAACATCTGTAAGATCCTGCTCTAATCCTACTGTGAGGTTTCCATTTCATCTGGATCGATTCTGAGTGGTTTTGGAATTTGTTATTATTCCAGTGCAATTAGCGAAAACTGTATATTTCCGACAAAATAAGTTTCGAGTAGATCCTTTAACTTTATTAGAACAACAAATATTCTCTGGAGGCTCAGCGCGCTCGATTTCCTATGTTCAAATTATTTTTGAAGTTCTCAAACGTCCCGAGTTATCAGTCCCAGAGCACCAAGGAAAGGAATTTTAATGAACACTTAAACTTAATTAATTAATAACTCTGTAAATAGTATCAGTTCATCGAAAAACTTTAAGGACGAATGCAATCAGATGTTCTCTTTAAATTGACAAAGTTTGAGGGCACATATAGGGGATGGGGATGGAGTCCTTCCCTTAAGTAGTAGCGCTGAGTATCAGCTTCATTTTAGAACCTCTCTGAGATTTCTAGCATTTAAAATGGTCACAGTCATGTTCTACTAATTTCGAATGTACTTGTCAAGATCGAAAAGATTTGGAGTCCTTTCTTTAAGTAGCTACATCTGAGACATATTTTCTGATTGAACTGTACATTAGGAGTGTTAATTTAGTGTTACTTTGGAAAATAAATGTAAATCAATCATTTATTTTTTAAATATAAATGGTTCATTTACATTTACCCATTATTATAAATGAATATTAAAACTAAATTAACACCCCTAATGTACAGTTCAATCAGAAAATATGTCTCAGATGTAGCTACTTAAAGAAAGGACTCCAAATCTTTTCGATCTTGACAAGTACATTCGAAATTAGTAGAACATTTTCTGTTACATTTGCCGTCAGAAGAATAACGTTTGTCGTGAGGAACTTTAGAAGAAAAAGTAACCAAATACTATACAAGATACGTTGACCTTACATTTCTCGTACTGAAATATTTCTCACTTGATGAAATTAATGCAACTTTCAACTAGTTTCATAAAGATATTCAATTTAAGTATGAAACAGACATGAAAAATTGTTCACATTTTGTTGATATTACTGTATACTTGCTAATTTTAAAATCGAAACTACTGTTTATAGGAAAAAGACATTTACTGACTTATCAATATCATGGACATCGTATGTCAGCACATGGTAAATCCTGCTGTACGTATATGCTCTACTTATGAACTGTTGGCTACTTAGATTAGACGTATAACAAAGCAAAATAAATATTCATGCAGGTTTATAGATTTGCTAACAGGAGTTCTCGTTACTGAAGGATTATTCTCTAATTGAACAATTCTAACCGGATCGATCATCCTAATAATCAGTCATCAAAAAACGACTGGTAGTAAACGTACCATTTGTACAAAAGTCATCAGAAATGTTTAGTAATAAATTACAACATTTCACGTCTGTAAACAGCCCCACATCTTCCTTTTCCTTATAGTATTGAAAAAAACTCATTAACATGTCCTCTATGTAAAACAGAGAGAACAAAAAACTTTCATTACATAAGTATACGCGACAATAACAACATATCTTTTCACCATTGTATTTGATATAGAGTCCCATAATAAAGGTATTATATAAGAAAAAAGTGTCTGTTACCCCGCTGCATAAATGCTATTGTACAAACTAATAGGCATTTCAAGCTGTGTAAATTAAGCCTTTGTACAGCAGTCGCCTGCATAGATAAGTGTTATATACGTCTTATTAATGACAAATAAGCTTGACCATTATATTCTGACGACGATGATTCAATAATCGTGTCTTTCAATGATTCAATATTCCATCCATTTTCTTTTGAAAATAAATATTCTAAATCACGTTGTTTTACTAGCCTTGGTCTTTCAGTCAGCTCCTTTTCTTTTTCACTGAACACTAGTAGAACGTATAGACCGACGTGCGGTTTCAATAGTTGTTTCAGTTTTTCAACATAACGCAATCGATCGTCATTTCTAAATACATGAAATACACCTGAATCTAAGACAAAATCGAATTGTCCTTCAGACAAAAGGTCCCGTGTTGAATTATCCAACGGCTCAAGTATATTAACAACAGCAAATTTTAAATTTTTATCCAGTACACCTGCTTCTATTGCTTTTTCTTTGCTGATTTCGATCGCACGTGATACCTAGAACATAAGTAACCTGTAATTAAGAGTTTGAGCGAGAAAACGGTCCGGCACAGGGCTCAGCATCTTATTTTTTTCAAAGTTCAAAAGGAGTGATGCAGGTAGGCATGTACTCAGGTGGATCCCATACTGTGGCCTTCGTTCTGGGTTTTGTAGATTTTTCTTTCACACATTTTTGGCCTCACTTAGAGAATTTTTAGCCTTCAGTTTTGATAATTATACATAGAGAGGGAGAGAACCTTTAGAGTCCGTTTGGGTAAAATTTCGGAAACATGACTTAAACCATGGACATATTTTTATACTATTTAAATGGTGAAATTCTCAACCATCGAGACATATCGCGTTTTTCACAAGACAACCCATTGGATACAGTTACAGCATACCTCTCCGCGATGCCCAATTTCACTGCTATCAATTTCAAAATATAAAGCACTCGAGTGGTTCCTGAATAGTTTTTGATGGAAAAGAGAGAGTAAGTTGCACTTTTGAGTAATCGATAGAAGACATTGTTACTAACACATTCTGTGAAAACGCCCGGTTCAGGTAAAAGGTGTACATCACTGTACTTTTTGATAAATAATCTAGGACATGCAACCTACACTAAAAACGTTTCGTAGTTTTTATTCTGATATGCGGATTCGATCTAGGGATCTAGCGTCTTTAGTATCAAGTAACTTTCGAGTCTCCATCTACATGGTTCATAGATGCTGAAACTTTTCCTGAGAGCCCGATAATGTTATTTGTTGGATCCGTTTTAGCGCATGTTGGATGTTCTAGATTATCCGTCCAAAAGTACACGATGTACACTATTTGCCTGAACCGTACATTTTCACAGAATGAGTTAGTAACGATGTCTTTTATCGATTACTGAAAATTGAAAGTCTCTAAGTCTTTTACATCAAAAACTATTCAAGAAACACTCGAGTGCTTGGTATTTTGAAATTGATAGTAGTCCCAGGTTAATCTTAAAAGACAGACACTACCGTATATTACGGACACCTTATACTCCCTTACGCACAGAATGCTCATTTCGACATTCCGAGGAATCCGCTCTTGCATGAGAAGTCAGTACAATGCGTTAGAGACATTTTGGGCTCTGTGTCTCTACTGTTTTCTCTAGTGAATGAGGATTTTCACTTCGAGTTGATGAGATCTACACTTGTAAACTTTTTCTATAATCTTCGGTTAAAAATCTTCAACCAACAAATGTCGCTGTGAGCCTTCTAATGTATAGTTTCAAAAACTGGCTTGATCTTCATTAATAAACTTATATGAGAAACCAGCAAAATTGGGACTTGCAGTCTTCATACAAAACACCGACGAGCACGGGAACTTTTCGGAGTCAATAAATACTTTAACCACGGAAAGTTGAGAACGTAGTTTTGAGGGTAGCTGCTTTTTTGTATAGCTTTTTTGTCGAAAGTCATCTTCTGTTCGTAAGATGATCTGTGTCCTAATTCAGGCATTGATGATAACTTTGCAGAATCAAATGAGAAAACAAGGAGTCTCACTACAACTAATCACTCAAGTACAGGAAAGCAAAAAGTTCATTTTATCGATAAAAAAAGTTAAGATAGTATGTTGTGTATTAGTATTTTTCGTTTTTCCTCGTGGTAAGAGGCGCCTTTTACAGCGCTCTTAGTTACAGCGCCGCGCTGTAACTAAGAAAGACTGGTCAGAGACGATCTGAGCCCTAACCTGGAGTTTTCGGAGACCATTTTTTCAATAAAAGTTTTTCTGGCTTGTAACATGGGTTGATTTCATTCTTAATTAGAAAAGTTCAAGCAATCAAAGCAAATAAGCGAAAAACGCGAACCGAACAGAGCAAATCGGAGGACGAAAAATGGCTCTCTGTCGATCTCTCTTCCTTAACTATAGTCTGATAACTTTTGTTCCAGATACTAAGTATAACAAGCATTCTTTGCGTCCTTATCTTTGAATATTTTATTCGAAAACTGATCTTTGAAACCTCCAGGACAGGGCTTAGATCGCCTCTGGCTTGTCTCTCTTAGTTACAGCGTTACTTACTACGAGGAAACATGAAATATACTACATACCATATCAACAGCAACAACATTGGCATTTGTATGAGTTGCAATGCAGATTGCATTATCGCCAAGACCACAGCCAATGTCTAAAACATTCCCATGAAACAGACCTTCTTCGACTAGTTCGAGAATTTCTGCTTGAGGACGATTTAATTCCCACATCGCGGAGGCACCAGAAATTCGAAAAAATAGTTCTTGTGGTGGTGCTCGATCGTCGTCTGAATTATCCATTTGTGGTTTTTATTTCTGAAGAGTAAAAACATACGACAGTATCGACATACTGTTCATTTCTTTATAGAAAAATATTTTTGACAAGTTGAACTTTCAAAATTAGGCATGCACCGGTTATAACCCGTATACTTCATCTCTTTTCTAAAGCGCATTGCATGAAAATTGCACATATTAAAATTTTTCTAGCAACAGAAAATTGTAGAGCCAACATTTTTCTACGACATGAGCTATGGCGAAAGTCTTAATTTTTTTATTTCAATCGCAGTCTCTTTTCGCCGACGAGCCTTAAACCGTTATAACCGATCTAAGAACTTTTAAGAAATACTTTTATCAGTACTAGATCAAGACGGAAAGTGCTTCCATAGCTCATCTTGTAGAAAAATGTTTGCTCCACAGATCTCTGTTGTTAGAAAAATGTTAGAAAATCAATTTTGATAGAGAAACCTTTTTGTGAAAAAGAAATAAATCGCTCTACAAACTGCATTTAAACTGTAATATAATTTGGTTGCGTGGCAGCTATTTTACTGGAAAAAATATGCTTTCGGCGTCAGAGAGTCGTGCACTCGGATGGTTTCTCAATAACTCGAGAAAAGAATGAGCTAGAGAGCTGTGGTTTTTAGATTATGAACGAGGTCATCCATTAGCATAATCCTTTGCTAAAATGAGTCTTATCCGACAGGTCTACTTCGGTTTCTAATGGAGTACAGAGATGTCGCTCTGCAACCTAACGCAGGTCCCACACCTCCATTCACCATGCTTCAGACGTTACAGGCAATCTCCGAGGACCGACCTGTCGACCATATTTGAGCTCTATGAATCTTGGAAACACATGGTACATAAGTTATCGCACACGCTTATTAGTATAACAAAGTTTGTTTTGTGGTCCGGGTTATGCAAACTGTAAAACACGAATTTTTCGATAAAGACAATTTCTTCACTGTGACCATACTGGAATAAACCCTTATAGCACCTTCATTTCTCAATTAGATTGCACCATATTTTAAAAACCATGCCTCTTCTACAGTTCAAGAACTTGTTTTGATGCTGAGCTTTCATCTGAAGATCTTCAGTAGTCCTTCAGTAGTAGCTTTCAAGCTATCACTTAGAAGAAAAAAATTTTCTTCTCATCATATACGTTCATTCAGAACGTTCTTTCTTGCACTTCAACTTTTGTTCAGTGTTAGTATATGTACGGTTGACAACTAGTAGTATAAAGAATAATTTCACTCGTGAATGTCCTTGATAATAGATATCCAGCGTTTAGTGCTTTTTCCTTATCTCATATACGACAGGATATAGTTACATTTGGTAAAGAAGAACAAGAGAAGAAAAGAAAAGAAAAAATACTTGTGATCATACCCAAGCAAAAATTGCCCAGCGGAAAAATCTAGGGGTAGCGCTATTGCCACTCTCTGAGAGGGTCAGCTGTTTTAAGATTCATCTTTATTTATTAAGAATTAAAATTAAAAAGTTTTTATAAAAATAAAGTCGACGTTTCGAAAATTATAATTTTCATTATCAAGACAATAGAGACGATTTACACGATG